GACGTCCGCATCCCTACACTGGTGCTGCACAGCTGCCAGTTTCGCAAAGAGGACGATGATGAACCTTATAACGGTGAGAGCGACGTCGACAGTAGTGACGACGACGAGGACGAGGAGGAGCGCGGTTCGCTGGCCGATATTATCCGGGGAGGGGTGAGGGAGTTTGAGAAGGCGGTGGAACGCGTTGTGCTGCGGAAATGCTGGTTGGACGATGCGCGTCTGCACGCCGTGGTTGCGCAGTATGGGTTTCGTGTGCAGCCTATGAACGTGGCGAAGCAGGAGCTGTTGGGTTTTGTGGAGGAGAACCTCGTTCATAAACAGCCGTTGGACATGCCGGCTGTCGCGGAGTGGGTAGCTGATTGCATCGCTCACAACCGCACCGAGCAAATTGAAACAATCATTATTATGGTGAGAAAATCCTTATAAAATTGTAATGATATACTGTAACTATTTTTTGTTAATAAACAGAGAAGATTTTTTGTTAATTTCGCGAAAATATAGTGGCGTCATCGGACTGGCATTTTGCTGCCGCTTATATTCCTCATATTTGAAATGTAAGGAATATAAGAAGTCTTTCAAATCGCTGACCGGGTGTTGCAGGCCCTTGAAGAGTACCAAAGCAGGGATCCGCGTGTGTCCACGCACTACCGGAAGCGTGACTGGACCGTGGACGACGTGCTGCAGCAGCTGGATGCCAGTAAGCTCAGCCGAATGACGGCGGCGGCAATTTGTGCCGACATGCCGCCTATTCCTCATCAGTAGTTGGGGCGTCCATCTTGCGCCCACGTTTACTGGTTTCTTTATAGTGGTCAGTAATGACTGTAATAAAATTTTGTACAGTCCTAAGGTATTTTGTCGTACAAGTCCATTGTTTTTTTGTTATGTCCGCTGCTTTTAAGTTGAGTTGTTACTTGTGGATAGAGTGTGGATTAAGCATTGACTAACATTCTTGTTCTGATAACGTAATCAGATACTGATTTTCTTGTTTTTGCAACGAATGCGGTTTTTGTCGCCGTATCATCTGTTGTAAGATGTATTTTACAAAATGCAGTGCAGTAGTTCCACAGTATATATCGACCGATCTTTATTGATCCCATTTGGTGCTTGGATGAGCATTATTCCTCAGCCGGCAACAACTGCATTTGGAAATTCTGAACCCGTGTTGTGCCCGTTACAACCTACCCTTTTCTGCTTGTGCATGTGCTAATGCTTTTTCTTCCTAATATTGCCAGGTAGTATCTGTGTTCCTACTAGTACCTGTTTGTCATAGTGTCATAACGATGTTCATGTTTTCATAATTTATGCTGTTATTTTTGAGGTTGTTGTTACACCCAGTTTGTTCTCTGGACTCGGGTGCCTAGAGGGGAACGGCTCCGTTGCATGGACAATAAACTTCCATTATTATTAGGCAATACAGTTCTGACTTGTTTACGTTTACCATTTCCATATCTTCTCATCCTAATCAACCACTACAGCGAATAAGCATCGAGATCCAACGAGGAAATGCGGCATCAATCTTGGGGACAGCACCGATAGGGGCCAATTTAGACCAAATTTTCTCTTCTGTGATTAGGCCGCCTTTGTCGATTGATGCTTAATGTGATCGTGTTTGAAGTTACTGTGTGAACTGAATGTAAGAATAAAAACATATTGATAACCACTACAGAGTACAGACGCAACAGGACAGGGTGTAAATAAAATCATTATTAACAATGATTAAACCGGCATAATACATGCTAGAGCGTTCACGATTCACTGTCCGGTGTAAGGCTGTCCGACAGGAAAGTAATTATTAAGTGTACGGCCGTGCACCACCTGTGTTGCCGTTCCGATGACACTCAGTCAGCGGATGTCCCGTAAAACTTCGCAGGGGATGGGAGTACGGGCTCAGCCTGGGTGCTCCGATACTCCTCCACGTGTCCGCCGTGATGATCGTCACCGCAGATCCGGTATCCAGCACAGGTGACACGGCTGTCCCGTTCAGCTTCAGTGGCACGTGGATCGATCCACCAACCACCGCGTTCACTGACAGGACATCGAACTCCTGCTCGAGTGCCCACGTGCGTCGTCCTTCCTGCCCTCGCGACTGGGCTGCTTTGGGCTGCGGCATACCTTCGCGATGTGACCTCGTTTGTTGCAGTTTTGGCACACGAGATCCTTCGCCAACATTCTCCTCGAGCATGCGTAGCCGAACCACATCCCGAGCACGCTGTCGATCCATCTGCCGCGCTGAGACCAGGCGCGTTTCCACTTCCTCTCATTCCGCCGCGGCGGTTTCCGCGATTGCGATTCGCGCCGCCGCCCCGTCGCTGACCTCCGTCGACGCGTGCAACTTCCACCGTTGCTTGACCGCGCTTCGTACTCCGCGTCAGCTCGTACTGTTGAGCTAGCTCCAGCGCCTTTTCCAGGGTGGTGAAATCCTTGGACATAAGATGTTGGCGCGTGGTGTCGTTCGCCGGTCCATTCAGGAAAATCGAGAACATGTTCTTTTCTAACACGTCTGCCGGAAAACCATAGTGTATCGCCTTCCTGCGGAGCTTGTTCGAGAAGTCCAAAAGGGTTTCTCCTGGCTCTTGGGAGATGCGAAAATAATTCGCCCACTCCGTGGTTGCGTTGGTCTTCTTCACATAATTACGATATCAAAATTGCCATGATCGCCATGTCATGGATGGTGGCTCGAATCGCAAATGGCCCGTGACGGAGAGACGAGTACGATAGAAATAATACCGTAATATCAATCCTACCGACCTCTCTCAACGACAGAGAATGAGCTAATAAATTCAATGTGGCATAACTAAATAATATGCATACTCTACGGACTACGATCTACGCGAAGCGGGAATCTCACACTGCATTCCGACGATACATTTTATTCTAAACTCCGACACTGCCGAACTCAGAATGAGAACGAACTGATTCCAAAAATACTGCAACTTTCGGACTTATATAGACGCGAAGCGCATCCGGTTAGAGAAGCCAAAAGTAGAAACCAAAACAAAAGAGAAAGTGCTCGAATGCACAAAATATAGCCGTAAAGTACGAGTACAGATATATAGAAGTACGTACTACGCTGCTACTGTACACCACATTCCGTCACCCAAAACATTCTCTTCCTTAGGAGGCATACTGGAGGTTGGCTGGTTATGATCCCGTTTATCTTAGTCCGAATGAGTAAGAACTTTTTTCACGCCAGTTATGTCACATATTATAGTAAATAATATATTTATTTAGCGCGTCAGATTGTACACTGAATGTTTACATGATCTTACAGTCGCAGCTGTGTTGGTCGCTATGTAAAGGTCATGCACTATCACATTTGACGTATTGTATGAGAGGGATATAAATGTGCAGAGCTGGTGTTAAGTTTCCGTTTCTGTTCACCCAGGAATGAGATAGCCGCTCGTCCCCTGTTTCAGGGCTAATAAAGTCATCATGTAACGGCCAGACGTGTGTTCTGTACTTTCTAGAAATCTGGCAGTTGGTTCTCATTTTATTCCTCGTTTTTCATAAATCTCGTAATGCTTTTCACTTCACGAGATCAGGAATCCCTGGTGGCAAAATGCCATTCGCGTACCTCATTGTGAGGGATGCCAGTTTTTCTGAGGCAAAGGTCTTGTCAGATTCACCTACCAGCTCGAGCACATAGACTGTCCTTACGCCTTTTTCAACAGTGTTAATAGCACAAATCTGACAGATTCTATTTGCATGTATAGCTGTTTTGAGATCTTTACTGAAATCCTCAAGTGTCGGATGGGATGATTGGGATCCAGAGGGGGTAAGCCATGGGATGCAGTCTGGATCCCACGGCTTACCCCCTCTGGATCATCCAGAGCGGGTAAGCCATGGAGACAGAAATCTTTCTGTTTCCCCTAGTGTTGCGCAGTCAAAAATTTCGTCTAGTTATGAACTCGCAGCTGTATTGCTGCGTGTGCTGTAAATATTTGTAGGCGCGCACTTCCTTCGAATAATCGGTAACCACATGGTATACGCGCCTATTGATTGGAAATGTTGACTCTCAACATGCGGGTCCGGTTGCATTCCTCTGATTCCAGTACCGACAGTTAATAATGAAAACTGAATTTTCTGATAAATTTGCTGGATAAAAGGTCAGCGAACGGAAGAAGATGTGATGCGCACACGGCCCGACGGAAATTGTTTACCTGACTGGCAAGTTTTCACAGCACAGCCGGCGTTGCATGACATTTAGGATGTAAGCCCATACATTGCGTGTTGAGAAACTGTGATAGTTTTGAGAAAAACACGGGGTTATTAAAGGAAAAAACCCGTTTCACCCGGTGAACACCGTATAAAGCGTGCAGCACATAGGCTGCATTATATAACAAGGTATACAGTGAATTGTAAATCAGTGGCTACAGCGCTGGGTATAGTGGATGCAGCGAGTGAGAAGTTAGAACACACGTTGGAGCACGAAAGTGCCTTCTTTCTCTTGCATCACAGATTCATAGTTACCTTAATCCAGTGGCGTAGCGCGCCGTAGTATGGTGAAAGTTGCAACCTGATTTCCTTGTTATAGTGTTCGCCGGTTTTTGAAACGGTCTCGTAGTTTTGCTGCATATCCGTTCGTAAAGCACAGTAAGAATCGCATTCCAGTGAATCCATCGTCTGTATTCAGCGGGCACCGCTTGAGTTTAACGTTAAGTTTACCAGCCGTGTTTATCCTTCGCGAGTGTAGCATCACTACAATCAACGGGATGACGAACAACAGCTCAGTTGCGAACAATACGGCCGACGTATGCGCTGCGGTCGCCAATCCGTTCACGTGGACATACGAAGGCATCGCGCTACTGTTCATTTATGTCACCATGTTTTTGCTGAATGGGATTGTCCTGGCGTTTTATTTCACGAAATTCCGCATGGTTCGAGATTTTCATGTGTATGTCTTTACGCTGTTGAGCTGCAACTTTCTGTATGCTGTTTGTTATGGACCAATCAATGTGATCTTAAAGACATTCGCTACGTGGTGCTGGGGTTCCCACTGGTGCAATATGCGCATGTATCTCGGGAATGTCATTGCGCAATGGCAGTACTTCATCCATACCGCCATCGCTCTAAGCCGCTTTTGTGCGTTGATATTCCCGGTGCAGTATCGGCAGCGACACAACACCCGCGTGGCCATTGTGGCATGCAGTCTGTGTGGAATACTGGCCCATTTGGGTAGTGGACCGTTCGTCGTTGTCGATTGGGTGCTGTACAGGCGGCCGGAAACGATATTCGGCTGCTTTCCGATCTTCGGTGCAGTAAATGCGGTTGCGTGGTCGTATTCGTTTTCAGTAATATCCTTCATTGCTATCTCGGTTGTGTTGGCGCTGTATCCGGTTGTTTTTTACATACGTCGGAAACGTCAGCAAATTCTGCGGCAAATTCGCCCTCCCAACCCCCAAAATGCAGGTAAAAGATTTTTTGACTGCGTCTTATTTACTAGCTAGGCCCGGCAAGGGCACTAGACATGTGTTTTCACAACTTTGACCGAACGCAGTGTTATGCTAGGGCCACACTTCAAGTGCGAAGGCCTTCGCACAGTGCGAAGACAAAAAGTGCTAATAAGTGTGAGCGCAAAATGTTCTAAGGGATCCTTCGCATCGATCAAAAAGTATGAGCGCCTTTCGCACTTTTTTCTTAAAAACGAGTGCGAAGAGCGTCTTCGCACCGTTTTTGGTGGGAGGGGATTTTCTTTCTCCTTCGCACTTGTGCGAAGGAATGGACCAATACCGAGCAACCGGATGTGATTCTGAATGTTTCTAAAACAGATAAATAGCATAAAATAATTAGTGGTACCTGTTTGTGCAAATGTATTATGTGCAAGTGTATTACATGTATTATCAATAAAAAGTCATGCCTTGCCAACGTTTCTTCAAAAATTTTGTTGACTGTACTTTTCCCTAATCGATATCGAATTGCGATATCGTGCTGAAAACAACCGCTAGCCAAAATTCTGTAAACGAAATCATTTAATTATAGACCCGCCAGTGCAGCGACGTTTTTATTGAGAGGTTATAGGTGTATATGATTTTGTACAAAAATCAGCACGTATGCATACAACTGTAATGGACAGTAGACGTTGACAGCAGACGTTAATGGACAGTAGCGCGAGATCAAAACGCTAGACAGCAGAATGATCCACAACAGACGTTTTCCTGGCAGAATGTTAGGACGCATTTTTCAAGGGAGGAATTCAATTCCGCTTGAGAGAATTATTAAGGATTATCTCATTGCCACAATAATTTTAAGATTTATAAATTCAAACCGAAATGCAGTAGCTCTCGACCTGAATCCCGTCAGTTTTGCGCTCATGACTTGGTGAAGGCGGAGCAGATCTCAGTTTCGTAGAAGTTCGATGAAGTGTGAGTGCTCACGTTTTAAGCAAATTGTGTTCGAACTTTTTCTTCGGTTCGCACCTCTCGCACTTTTTGGTGCGAAGAAAAGCTTCGAACTGTGCGAAGGAAAAAAGTTCGATGAAATTTGCATCGCACTTGAAGTGTGGCCCTAGCATTAGGAGCGTGGCTCTGCTCGTTAAGTTGCCGGCTGTACGGAGAATAACTCACGATATTCTGCTGTACGCTGACAGCCTTGGTGCCTCTCTCAGCCTTAGAGTTTACATAGAGGTTGTGGGTTCGATTCCCTCAATCGGCAGATTTTTTGCGAGTTGTGTAGCCAGCAGCGGCCAGTCTAGCAACAGAAAGGATATGTCTACACAATGATGTGACGCGATTTTCTCTGGCCTGTCTTTTCATCAGTCAAAGAAAAAACTTTGAAACCGAAAGCTGAATGAGAAAGTTTCTTTGTTTAGGATGTAATAGAATCTGTTGTTATGATGAATTTTTATTTTCCCCCACAAATTCAGTTAGCCATTTTCACCCATATTTGTACTAATGCCATTCATTAACTAATTAATGAAAAATTCAGTTCAGGTCCCGATCAAAGAGACTGGGGAAATCGCCAAAAAGACTTTTGGTGGTATCGTGGTATCTGGCAGCCTCTCTTCTGATTTTCTCGCAACATTGTCATAGTTTTGACATTCTTCCCGTTCGAACTTAAAGAAGCGCAAAAAGTTTTTATGTTCAGAACTCTTCCCTCTTACAGTGTGTGAGGAGGAGTGACCTCCCCGCACTGGTGCGGGTGCCAACAAGTAAATTGTTTTGCTGTTTTTGCTAGTGATTTTCCCCATCTACCAGATCTTCGAGCTGGTAGATTCTTCAGTTGCTAGGAATCGACGTCTGAGTAACTTGCTGTCCTTTTAGCCCCGCAGCATTCTGCTGCGGAAGCTTCTGTAGTGTTATGTGAATGGGATATAAAAGTGTGCAGGTGTTTGTCGAGTGTTTTGCATTTCCGTATAGCTCGTAGTATACAGCACTGCTCACTCAGCAGGATAGATTCTGTCTTCTGTCTCTGCCCGTGGATTCTTCCAGAATCCATCTTCATAAGTGCACATGAAGAAGGAAAAGAGTCAACTGTTTCGGCTTTTAGAAGAAAATGCAGTACCACTGATCGGCTGTCTGATCCACGGCGCAAAGTGTTGAAAATCTTTGAAAGACTTTGTCGCTCTATATGAGCCGCTTCCCTCCTCACAGCAGTACTTCGTTAAATACAGTATTCTGCCATTTCTAGTAAATAGCGCACAGAATATAAATGTCTTTTTTGTTGCTTCTCAATCAACTCGTAGACCTGGAATCCAGGAGTTTAGGTGTAGCTGTACTCGTACATAAGACTATAATTACGTACGATTATAATGTAATTTTACTGCGTTTGATTATACTGTAATGTAATTTTTTTCAACTTTGCAAAACTAGGGTGTGGGAAATAAATCGCAAAGTTGTATCTTTTTGTATTGCTGCTCATGTAACAACGTGAATAACGAAAAAACGAAGAGGCAGTGAACAGAGTGAATGTTACAGAAGATAGGCAAAAGGTAGTGCACGGTCGCACGGAGTACTACATCCTACGAATAACAGTGCAGTATCTGTAGGTACAAGCTATCCGTAATTACTTTAAATTAAAATTTTTATTGCAGTACCGCCGGCTTTTGCAGCTGTCGAGCGAAAATGCAACAGAAACCTACATTGCTGCTTAAGTGCACATTTTTGAGAACTTTTCAAAATGTCTTGGGCAAAGTAGTAAAGTAGTCTGACACCGTGTTACCTATTTTAAAAACAACAACTCCGGGCTACCTAATCATACTACCAATAAACCGATCACTACGCTGCCCCAATTAGAATATCAAAATTCGGTAATTCGATAATGGTGTTACGCTGCACTGACGGTGAAAGGCGCAGATTTGTTTCGAAATGTGTAAATTTTAAATTTTTATGTTCGAAATAAGGAAATAAGGAAATAAGGAAATAAGAAAATAAGAAAATAAGAAAATAAGAAAAATAAGAAAATAAGAAATTAAGCAAATAAGCAAATAAGTGTTAGAAATTATATTACCAATATAATATATGTACACTCATGATATGTCATGTACTTGTGAACTATGACCATTGTCTTACTAGCTGATCTATGAGTGTACGGTGCACCCAGGTCACCAATCCCCTGGTTTATCAGATGTTTAGGTGCAGTAACTTACTAATATCGTGAATGTACCGTGTGCTATGTAAGCAACCAGCTTGTATAACGTTGGAGGAACAGAACATAACAGAACTGACACCAGTGTGTGTGACGCTTCCGGTTTCTGTTCCCGTGACTATAATAATCTCATAATATAAATTCTAACAATAAGAAAATAAGAAAACAAGAAAATAAGAAAATAGCCCTCCAACCCCCACAATACAAAATAAACATGTATCCATGCAACTCTGGCCCACTTCTGCATTTTGGGCAATAATGCAGAAGTGGGCCAGAGTAACCATGTTAGCGGTAACTAACTCCAAGCATAGATCAAAATTTAGGCGGCTGGCTGCAGTTGAACTCAGGTATGCGTGATCCCAAAAAAAGTAGCAAAATTCCCATCGCATGATGAGCCCCTCACCGCTTTACGCTAGGCAAGTTATTGCAGAGTTGACCTTTGTAGGTGTCCAAGAGTCATCGCTTCCTGCCTCGTCGGGGCCATCAAATAATCAACAGGCTAAGCCGGAAAGCAACGCTTTTTTACTGCTGACTATACTGACCGTCAGTGTGTTTATTTCCTGGGCACCTACCGTTATTTTCTTCCCGTTGCTTACTATATATCCACCCAATCTGACTGTTAGATTCTGGATTTACACCATAAATGACTTGCAGCCCATAGTCGATCCGGTAATCTTCACTTTGACTCTACCCGATCTTCGTCAGTTAATCTTCAGGCGGACTCAAGCTTGACACTTGAATTACTTGAACTTGAACGACGTTGGTTAACGCTGGCGCTGATCAAATTTGTCTGGTTTATCCTGCGTTGGTGACCAACTACCGCTCAGAAAAAAAAAGCAGCCAGCTACAGTGCCACAGGGAGCCGAAATTCAACGGATGCTCACGGCATTTACCAGGTTTAAATAGAGGTTCAAAATTTTGAGCATTTTAGGCAGTTTCTGTACAGGGAAAAACAGTAGCAAAATTAATTTTAACAAGAAAAACATAACTAATGCCGTTCTCATCACTGTCATAATCATCATCATCATTTTTAATAACTGTTATTAAGATGATGACTTATCTAAAAAATAATTTTTTTGTTTGTGTAGATGCATTTGTGCGTAAAGGGATGCGCCTTTTCATGTAACTTGGACCTTGGTAAAGTGTTTCACGCGAATAATTAAAGGCTCGCTTGCATATAGGATTTCGATCGAAAATAAATTGGACTCACACTGTAAACCATACTAACTAAGAACCGATAGGCGAAAGGAAATCTCGAAATATTTAATGCTGAAAACATTTTACGCATTATACAATCAAGCAAGGAACAGGTATTTGCTTCAGCGAAAGACGATCTGAACCAGGGTGACGCCTTACACATGTTCCCCAGTCTCAGTGTCAGTTCGCATGCAGCAGAGAAGCAGCGCAAAACGTGAAGTACTCACCGGCCTAGCTGGTGGTCACCGGCTATCCTGCTGGTGGAGATCTTCCAGTCTCTAAACACCATGGACCGCGAGCGCTGTCGCCGCACCTGTGCCCACTGGGACTGTCTACTGACCACCGAGGCCTACTTCCGCGATGTCTGCGTATCCGGCCGCCCCGAAGATGGGCCCATGGGGACCGTCAGCTACGGCCATTATCAAGGAAATCGGGAAACGTTTATGTAATCAAACCGGAGAGGCTCGCTCCCATGAGTTTCTCCGGCAGCGACTGTCCTTGGAGATTCAGCGGGGAAACGCGGCTTCAGTTTTAGGAACAATGGATGGAGTAGAAAAGTTTATTGAACTCTTTCTGTTGTGATAATTTAGCTTTTCTCATTGTTTGGTTAACTTGTAAATGTTTGTTGATTTGTACTTTGCCGTCGTTTTAGTAAGCCGTGTGGAAATCAGCCTTCAGAGATAACCCCGAAGATTACGCGCAGTACGGCATATACCCCATGTTCTGGGTGGTGGCCTGCGTACTGAAGTGCGGGCACCGCCGTACGCCGTGGGTGGTCCTCCGGCACCTGGGGCTGCTGGAGTGCGAGCGCACCGTTGACCTGATCCGCCGGCTGCGAGGGGACGTCCGCATTCCTACGCTGGTGCTGCACACCTGCCAGTTTCGCAAATAGGACGATGATGAACGTTATAACGGTGAGAACGCCGCCGACAGTAGTGACGAAGACGAGGACGAGGAGGACCGCGGTACGCTGGCCGACATTATCCGGGGAGGGGTGACGGAGATTGAGAATGCGGTGGAACGAGTGGTGCTGCGGAAATGCCGGTTGGACGATGCGCGTCTGCACGCCGTGGTCGCGCAGTACGAGTTCCGTGTGCAGCCGACGAACGTGGCGAAGCAGGAGCTGTGGAATTTTGTGGAGGAGAACCTCGTACATAAGAAACCTTTGGACATGCCGGCTGTCGCGTAGTGGGTAGCTGATTGTATCGCTCACAACCGCACCGAACAAATTGAGGCAGTCATAATCAAGGTGAGAAACTTCTTACAGAATTTGAATAATCTAATTTTTCAAAACACTTAAGAAATGAAAGAAAACATGGAAGTATAATGAATTTATAGAAGCCTAGCTCATACGAAGATGTGAGAAGACAAATTCGTACTACTTAACTGTAAAGCTGTATTGTCTGGCGGCAGCCGGAAGAATTAAACTTTCCATAAATAAAGTAATATAATATTATATGCAACCATTTGTAAAAATTTTGGTCGATTTTCAACAAAAATTTTATTTATCATTAGGTACAATATTTCGCGAAATTACGATACATTATTCTATTTTTTTATGGCAGTGAAACTCCAGTGCCGCCGCGATGCACTGAATGTGACTGGCTGCCCGTGGGGGGTACATTGAGAAGCTTTTTTGATAATTTCGCGAAAATATCGTAGCGTCATTGCGCTGGCTTTTTGCAGTTTTGATAGGTACTGCCTGTTAAAGAACACTGAGTAACAGCAGCATATAACTGATATAAGGCATATAAGAAGTCGTCGAAATCACTGACCGGGGGTTGCAGGGCCTTGAAAACTATCAAAGCAAGATCCGCGTGTGTCCACACACTACCGGAAGCGTGACTGGACCGTGGACGACGTGTTGCAGCAGCTGGACGCCAGTAAGCTCAGCCGCAGGACGGCGGCGGCAATCCGCGCAGACATGCCGCCCATTCCTCACCAGTGGCTAGGGCGTCCATATTCCGCCCGTGTTTCTTGGTTTCTGTATGGTACATAATAAGTTTTTGCTTTGCTTTTCATAAGGTCATACGGTATTTTGTCAGAAGGTATTTTGTACGTAGGTATAAGGTATGTACGGACAGTACGGTCATACGGTACTTTGTCTTAAGGGTCTATTGTCTTATTTGCTGTTATGTCCGCTGCTTTTAAGTTGAGTTTTGCATAGTGTGCACTGTGGATTTAGCAAGAAGTAAATTTTTTATTTTGTTAACTTTATCTGTTTTGCCGCCGTAGCATCTACTTAAATGTACGGTGTGCAGTGCAGTAGTTACACAGTACTTAAATATTGACCGATCTTTATTAATCGCATTTGGTGCTTGCATAAGCATTATCCCGCAGCCGGCAACAGCTGCATTTAGAAATTTTTAACCGTGTTGTGGCCGTTACAACCGCAACAGAAGTACCTACTCCTTTTCTGCTTGTTCGTGTGCTAATGCTTCTTCTTCCTAATATTACCACGTAGTATTTGTGTTCCTATTGCCACGAAGTAATTACCGACGTCGCCGCTACAATCTGCGCATGCATAATTGATTGGTCAAACTCGTTTGGAATCAGAATACAATGTGCACGAATATTAAGGCGACACATCCACTTTCACCCATCAGCAATGCACCAATGCGTGATACCGCTAGGTATGTACTCATCCGTTATAATTCGCATACTGTATACGCGCAACTAATAGCCGATGCGGCACTGCTGCGGCCTTCAAGAATTTTCAGTCAAGCATGTAGGGCTGACACGCTGCCTAATGAAATGCACGTGCCAGCGTTGAAAATGCTGGATCGGACTCGGTTAACTCTCGTTTTGGTCGTTGGCATTTGCGGTTGCAATGGGAACAGCAATCCGACACAGCGGCACCGACTAATCAACGAGCTAGCGGCGGGTGACACCTCGGAAAAGAATGATACCGAACAGCCCACTGCCGCCCCAAGCGGCCAGAACGGCAGTATGTGTCGCAGTACATATGATGCCTAAATCATGCTTTATTTTGCCTGATACAGTACAGTCTGGCTAATGTCTTGGAGGTTCGTCCGACGATCAGCGGGAAGAGGACCTAATAAGGTTCGAGGGCGACATCCTCGGCATCGACCCGGATGCTCTTACCGATCAAGATCTGGTGTGTCCCAATTCAACCCGACAAGAAGGATAATGATCGTTAGTTTGGTTGTGTATATTAATCGCAGAAGCAGCAAGCCAACTTCGTTACGGACGAGTCAAAAAAATGGCCGGACGGTGTCGTCGTCTACCGGATATCCACGCAGTTCGGTAAGATGCACACACATTCCGCGGCACATAAAACGCCGACATCATTATTATTGTTGTTATCGCACTACAGTAGCCAGCTCCTTTTAATCGAGATATCTTACCAGGTTATTGGAGAATTTGTTGGTTATGTTATTATAGAAAATTTTATATTTTTTTGGTTTTATTTTGTGAGATAAACGTTATCCAACCCAGGAATCAAACCAGGTCGCACAATCTTGAGCCACACTTACTACCACCAGACTATAACCATTTATTGTTAATGACGTGTGTTTATAAAGGTGCAACGGAGAAAAGAGCCATCCGGGCCGCCATGCGCGATTTCTCCGCCCGCACCGGCATCCGTTTCGTCAGGTACGCGCGGAAGCAGACGGCCGACGAGGAAACCGACCGGATGTCTATTGTCCCTTCGCTTGTCGGGTAGGTTCCCGCATGCGAACCTCTCCTGATGCCTAATTAACCGATCGGTGACTAACTGTAGGTGTTCCTCGCATGTTGGCCGACAAGGCGGCGACCAGAAGGTCTACCTGAAAGTCCCGGGTATCTGTAGTTACAAACTTACAGAAATCAAGCTTACTATACGCATGCTAAAAATTAACCCACGTACGGTTTCTGACCATTTAAAGGTTACCTTTTACAGGCTGCGTAATTAAATCGGGTACTATTCAGCACGAGATTATGCACACCATCGGTGAGTCGAAATATTTGGGTTCAGTAATTATTATTTTCGGCTGGTAGGTCCGCTGAAGCATGAACAGTGACGAGCCTGTACGCTTTAATTAAAAGCGTTGCATATCGCTTTAATTACCGGTGGGTGCATTGCTTTAACCAGGTTTCTTCCACGAGCAAGCCAGAATCGACAGGTTTGTATAATTTATTTGCTTAAGCATAATACAGTATCAGGCATGTACTACAGTATTATTGCGTCCTCTAATATAACCGATATCCCGTTTGGTTTACATTCATATAGAGACGAGTACGTGGACATCAACTGGAAGAACATTGCCAAACGTAATCTGGGCATTTCGCTGCTGCTCCAAACGAAGGCCAGAGACCTGAATTTGGGTTTTCTTTGCAGTGAACCGCGGCAATTTCCGCAGCTACACGTCCAACGCGTTGGGCCAGCCGTACGACTTCGGCTCGGTGATGCACTACGGCGAGCATGACTTCGCCATTGATTCCGCCCAGTACACCATCCGCATTAAACCGGAAAATCCGGCGGCCGACGACGACAACATGGAGCTGGGCCAACGCGACGGCCTTAGTCCTATCGATGTCGCCAAGATCCGGCTGGCTTACGGCAGCGGCAAAGGTGACCCTTTCGACTTCACAAAATTCTATCTGTACAATTTAAGACAGCTTTCCGATTCGGTCGCACATAACTGCTAAAAACACTAACAAGTGATCTAATTCGATGATCAGATAAAGCGTACGCATGTGGGAGTAAAGACTGGGAAAATCGGTCTTTATTTTTATCTGCCAATTTTAACAGAAAGAAAATGACGTCGGATTGTGTTACAGGTGCCTGCCCAAATAAGAACGGATGGATGTACGAAGGGAAGAGTGGACGGGAAGAGTGCTACTTTTTTTCCTTCCTGTCTTCCGATGCAGGGTATACTGATATCATTGGGCGTTTCAGAACTCAAATGTCTAATGTCGGCAACGGTTAACTGCAGACCAAAGTCGTTTGACGCCGCCAAACAGCACTGTGCCACCCACGGGAGCGTCCTGGCACCGAAATCCCGGCGAGCCACGATCCGGCGCGTTATTAAGGCGAACCAGGATAAGATCAACATGGATGACGAGATATGGCTGGACGACTGTCTGACCTTTCGGGCAGAGGACCGGCGGCCGGCCCGCCGAAGCTGTAGCGGTCCCGCGCTGGATTTTGTCTGCATTACGCAGGTCAGCATGCGCGAATTGGCCCGACGCAATGACTCCCGCTAGCGTGGATGACCGTTCCTATAGTTAATTTCCTCATTTTTGACTCAAAATAAAGAGTGTTGCTTATGCACAATCCTACAGAAAATGAGAATGCATCGGCTCTGTGCTTCACATACATCCGTTCAGATTAAAAATCAATGTGCAGCGGCAATACAGCAGGCACAGTTCGCATACAATCACGCTCATTTCAGTAAGTCTGAACCACAAATTAAGAAATGTACTCTAATTACATCGGCCCTGATGAGTAGTCTGCGCGCTGAACGCGTGTGATAAAAAGTACTGACTATGTACTGTACGAAAAATGAAGTCGTTCCCTGTGGCCTTGATGCGGCAAGCATGCGATCATCCAGCACTTGCCAGTTTGCAAGGCTTTTAAAAGGAAACTGCTTAAGACGCTCATTTGATCCAAAACGATGGGTTTTTGAGGAGAGAAGCGGCTCATGTACAGCGACAAAGTCTTTCAAAGATTTTCAACACTTTGGTGTAGTGGTACTGCCTACGCGGAGCTAACGACGTAGCCGGGGTTGGATTCTCCCATCGGTGCATTTTTCAGCCGTTTCTCGGGTTCTGTAATGTAGTGCAGTGGCTACGCGCCCTTGCGCGTAGCAACAGTTACATATTTGTGACCTGTACTGGATGGGATATTCTGTAGTGTTCTTGATTATTATATTTAGTATCTGTTCGGCCAGTACACAGAAGCCCAATAAAACCGGTGCTTCAATACGTGACAGTTTCCATTGGATGGCGCCTTGCTTTATGGTTAATAAAATAAGCGTTATTTTGTGGAGTACGATTAGAGCTTTCTGCGAATGCATTAGTTTCCGGCTTTATAGCGGCAGCCGTAAAATCTGGTCGTCACATCCGGCTCGACCGGACTGGATTTTGACTATCAAACCGTGAAAATTTCGGATAACACGTCTGCTGACACGTCTATATTGGCCGGCAGCCATGTTGTTTTGAAGTGGGTATAGGTGCTGACTGCGCTTCTCTCAATCACTTGTGCATTCTATGTACGAGTATGTTGGTATACTTGCCGGCCGTCAACCGCGTTACAATACTATTATTATTAGTTGACATACACATCAAATAGTACGTACTCTCATGCGTCGTATGAACCTGTTTGTTTCGTGTGAGCGAGGGGACTACACGTACCGTAATCATGTTTTCCTGGCAATACAGAGTGTACCGGGTAAAAACACTGCCTTATGAGCTACCTGGTACGCGCATTGCGCATCTTGCATTCTGGTAGCTGTACTGCTGTACGTCCATAGAAAGCTCCCATAACCATTTATATGCCATAATGGCAACACACTATTGAGAGAATTTCAGTTTGTACCTGATTTTAAACAACTTTTCGGATACTTCTTGGTTTTACCGCTCATGCTTGATGATCAGGCTTTTGAAATGAGTGTCTTGAAGGTTTCCCTGCTCCGTGAATGAACTAAACAGGTGCTTTTTGGATAGTCTTTTTGGAAAGAGCAGCAGCTATCTCTGGCGATTTGAAGTGAACATACTACTGTATAAGCATTATCATTATTCCGGAGCAAGAAGCAACGGCGCGATGCACATGTACAGATACGATGTACTGGCGTGGAACGCCGTCGACGTTCGCCTCAAGAACGGCCAGATGCAGCACGGGCGCGTCATCAACGTGGCGGACGGCGGCCTGATTATTGATTTCAACTGTCCTGGACAACGGGAACAGTTCGTCAAGTACAAGCGCATTTTCCAGTGGACATCCAGCTGTGACTGTCTGGAGGAGCACGGAGGCGGGAAGCCTGTGTCCGTGCTGCTGCGTCGTCCGGTAGACGGCGCGTGGATCTGGTATATCGGCAAAGATATCTCTATAGGAGACGATAACGACAGGTAGTGCCGACATCCGACTTTCAACCTTTCACGTTTCCACGCGACAAATTTATTTTGCTGACAAACTGTGTTCCAAACGATTTGATATGGACGAAATATGATTTTAAAAATTGTTATATGATACAAGTACTCATTCGTAAGAGCTTATTTTTGAGGAAAAAATTCACGAAACAAGTAAAAAATCTGATAGAAGCGAACTGAAAATGATTTTGACAATGGGCGGAACGAAATGAGCGATCGACTTTTATTCGAGCAGTTTAAAGTTTGACAGCAAACCTTCCGGAAAAAAATTGTAGTAACAAAATATTTTTTGAAGCTTAAGATTTTTTATCATTCCTTGGCAAATCAATTTTGTTTCAAATACAGCTCAAAAAACGGATAATGAATTGTTGAATTGTCAACCCTAGTCGCATGGAAGTCGCATTGGTACAAGCGGAGACACCGCATGGCACCGTCACCGAGCTGGTCCCCACCCGGCAGGTACGTGCCCCGCAGAGGAACAAGCGTTCGGAGTTTGAGCGCGTAAAGAAGACGGACTTCGTGATCCGCCGTTGCGTGTTGTCCGATGCACAGTTATGCGCCTTCCACCAGCTCGGGCCGACCCTCCAGTGCGTACGGGAGCAAGCTATCGCTAGACCGGCGCGGTATCACGGCCTGCTGGGCCATACACTTTACTACCTGCAGAATTCCTGGTACACGCCACTGACACCTGAAGAAGTCGTAAGTTACATGTTTCTTGAGGGTAATAATAAAACCCGGCATTGGGAATCGGGAGTTCGTATTGGGAATTACTACTGGGAATGGGATTGTGCCTCATTTAGGGGAACAGTATTTCATTGTACGAGTGGGAAAACAACTACAAAATTTCGCTTTGAGATTTCTAGATGTACAGTTGTAGTGTACGTACATATTACAGACTGTACCTATTGTCGTATAGCAACGATTGTTATTGTGGTACTTCTTACTTGTTGAGCTATCGGCTGTACGAGCTAACGTTGCTTACGAACTATTCTAATTACTTACGAGCTGTGCTAATAAATTGCTTACGAAAAGTCCGTGACCTTTCCTCTTGTTCTACAACAATCACGATCTCAACGTAATCTTATTAGCTTCCTGGAGCGGCACATCGCCACCCCGATTTAAGTTAGTTGAGCCAACGTTATAATATACAAGTTAAACAGCATATAATGCAAGTTTAACTTTCAGATTTCGCAAACACATATGTTTATAATTCGCAGGAATGTTTATAACTCGCAGGATTGTTAGCCGAAGCTGACTGTTCTTTATTATTAAGCGAACATAGCTTTTTATACTAGAACATGACGCATAGTTAAATCAGATAAATGAGGCAACACGGATGTTAATGTTAGCCATCTGGTTTATCCGTTATAATATATAAGGCCTTTCGTGCCCCATTAGACCCCACAATGCTCGTCACTTGCAGTCGGCGAAACGTTTTGAGTGGTTATGTTTAGTCCCCGCCAAGGAAGTTCACCCTCGATGTTTACAGCGATAAACTGTAATCCCTCTTGTAGATAACGTTTTGCTGTTGGTCGGAAACTTTAGGTGCCTCGATTATCTCTTAGATCTAATAAAAAACCACTTGTTTGGTATCGAAATTCTTAAAATTTTTTTCTTTCTCTTTTGAGATATCGCTTGGGTAGTTTGGTTTCGAAATGTGCAAGTTGCAGGTGCTTGAGTTAGCATAAGAGTCTACGCGCAATGGACATAATCGAATTATTTTGGTCTGTTGTTGGCCTTGCCGTTAAAATATCGGTCCTCAGACCGATTGTCCAGTGACACTAGTGTAACCACATTTATGGCGTCTACTGTAAATTGCTGACCGACAGAATATTTACCCGGTTGATTTGTCGAAACGACTGATGATCGACTAATAATGGCTATAGTTTCTATGATTCCGCTGACGATTAATACCTTGGTTTTTGCAGGACAACGACTGCAACGATGCGAGAAGCGAGAAGGACGGTGGCTATAGCAGATTACGGTCCTGCTGGTGGATGTACCGCCAGTGGTCGGTAAATACGCTTAGCAAAACGCCGGAAGCTGGCGGCAGTCATCAAATGGACTTGCCGTTACCCCCGGAGTTGTGGGTGACGGTCTTCCAGTCGCTGGACTCCATCGAGCGCCTCCGCTGTCGGCGTGTGAGCCCCCTGTGGAACAGCATTCTCACCACCGAGGCCCACTTCCCCGATGTTCGCCTGACCGGCTGCAACAGCTACTATGACGCAGACTGGCATGTCACTGTAAAGAACATATTCTGGATGGTTTCTGGTGCGCTGAAATGTCTCAACAAGCGCACTAAGTTGGTGGTTATCTCCGAGCTGGATTTGTGCGACGGCCGAGAACTGGTCGCGCTGATTGCCCATCTCCTGAAAGCCCACCGCCTCCCGCTGGTCTTCTACCGCTGCGATTTCCAGATCGAGCGCACTCCTGTTGTTCGGATCGTACATCGCCTGGCCAGCCTCGCCTGGGAGCTGGCGTTGGGTGGCAGATTGATGCTGAAGGATTGCCGCATCGTGGATGACCACCTCCGGATTCTGCTTTCGCAGCATGTTTTTCGGTTCCGGTCGCAAGTGGAACTGGAGAGGCAACTGTGGGGTCTTCTGCCCAATAAGCTGATCCTCGGAAATCCGCGTCAGAATGGGCAGGTCGTAATGCAGTGGAATGCCGGCTGCCAGCAAGAAAAACGTAATCCGGTAAAGATAACGATTTCGTTCAGTGGTTCAGCTCCCTTTTCAGTGTACCTTTAGAAAACTAGAAAGTCTGAAGAATGAACGATAAGAATAATCGGCTGGCGACGTGCATTTTGGCTATTAATTTTTACAGAAAGTCTGTGACGGTTAAATTAAATTCAATCCGTTTCGTGGAATCAGCAGATATCTTTTTCTTCATTCTCTGAAATTTTTGTTGTGCCGTTGCGTCATCACGTTGTATGCATAAAGGTGTTTGCTCGCATCACAGCAGAACTTAATTTGTATAAGAAACAGAGCTTATTATTTTAACTGTAAAACACACTGAGTATAGTAAATGCAGTAAAGGCTTCACGCTTTCTGGTCATAGTAAAGCAGGACAAGTCACTAACCATAAGCACTTTATCGATTACTACGCACTTCTTTTAGCCACGATAGCGTTTATTGTGCTACACAGCCACTGCACACGGTAGTACGTTTAATGCCGTATAACATCTGGAAAACTTTTAATGGACCATCGAACGTGGCTTCAGGCCTCCTTTCTCGTCCGTTCATTTGGCCGTTGGACGAACTCAGTGTCCGACCTTAACTCACTTTCGTGTTACATTGTATATATTCTGCTGCAAGAAACAGTAGAGAGTGTCCCTTCGCGTGTAGATATTGTTTGTCAGCGAACTGTTTGGCTGAACATTAAAATGTCGGCTCGATCGGAATTGGAGCATGTGAGCAAGTCCAGACTCCAGCGTTCCACGCGTACAGTTGTTTCTCCGTCCATATGCATTGCGCTGCTGTTTTTTATGCTCGTAACTGTTTCACACAGTTAGAGACTACCGATTGTCCAGAGACCAAAATGGCTGAGGCGGTGTCTTACCCACATGCGCCCGTTTGCTAACAATAAGCTGCTAACAAAACTGTGTGCCGGTTGGCGGTTATGCAGTCGCCAGGGCTTCTAGTTTTGATTTAAAAAAGTTAATATGGCCATTCTTTAACGAGAGAACTGGCATTGACACATTTTACGTAACTGCGGCTAACCTATGAAGAAAAATGCCACACGGACCGTACCAAAGCCTCCTGTAGCAGATCCCATGTCTACGGGAGCTTGCATAAAGCGAGCGTGTGGCCCATCCTGCAGAAAACACCAATCTTTTTTGGAAAATCGATACCTTTTCTATTCTTTTTATAGTTGTTGAAACTTTGGATGTTTTCGATTCGGCTTTTACTACACTGTTACATTTCATGGGCCGAATAGTAACTGGTGAATCGACTGGGTAGGCCTTCCACTGTTTTTTTAAGAAACGTTTTACTTTGATTTTACTTTGACCATCATAAGATTTTTAATAGCACAAGCCAGTCAAGACAGAGTAATTAGTGTAGTTAAAAGAAAACTGTCATTAAGGACACTCAACGGCTGCATTAAGAACTCTATAATTTAACCCAATGGGAGAATAGTATAACGCGGGGCCATATGGGCGCCACGCGTATCCTCGACAGCGAACAGCGTGAACCCGGATGAGGCTTTATTGCCGAATCTAATGCGCACCGTGGCGCAGCAACACCAGACTAAAGAGGAAGGATTCTGCAGCCAGTGCAACTGTGCTGCAGATCCGTCAAAACAGCGCAGAAATGTGCGGGGTGGAAATCCCCAGAAACAGCGAATAGCTACTCAGGAGGGCGGAGCGTCCCGCCCTTACACCCCTTTTGCAGGCATCGCTACGTCCTCGGAGCGAAATCTCCCAGGATTCGGAGGATCCGCACCCCACGCCGGTTCGGCTCATGTTGGGTTCCGGGCCAGTTCGGTCCGGTTCGGGCGGTTAATCCGGTCGGCTCGGTTCCAGTTTGGTCGGCTCAATTCGGTTCGGCTCAGGTTGGGTTCCGGGTCAGGTCGGCTCCGGTTCGGTCCGAGTCAACCGTCTGGGTCAACGCACTGTCGCGCCAGATCCAGGGTCCAACCCGGAAACGTGTAAATTCCGTAGTTTCTTCAGCAAGGGAAAGGTCACGTTCTGGGGAAATTTGGGCAGGGGTTTGGGGTCTATGTGGCCCGTGACCCCTGCAAAAAAACAAAGCACGCAAATCCGCGGTGAAATCCACTGCTCCGTCCGGGGGGAGGTCGCCGTCCCAGGAAGTTCGGCCAGTGTTTTGGTGGGGGAGTTCTTCGGCGTGGTGCTGGTGGTCGATCCGTGCCGTTGGGATCGGAGTTGGTGCTGCTGTTGGCGGTGTATCCGTTCTGGTTTCCCGCTGGTCCGGGTCGCGTTCGCCGTCGGCATCGCAGGAGGCAATTCTCGCTCCACGGCATCGCAGGAGGCGTTTCTCGCTCCGCGGCATCTCCGTCCAGTTTGGGAGGCATGTCGTCGCGGGGAGGCGTCCATCTCCGTCAGTTGGGAGAGGAATCCGTCACGTTCCGCGAGAATGGGGGAGCGTTTGTAGCTCCACACCAAGGGGCTAAATTGGCTCAGATAATCAGAGGAGCCGTGCACGCGGGCAGCGCGCACAGCCTGGCTCGAAACCATGATCTGCTACCATATAACGCGGGGCCATATGGGCGCCACGCGTATCCTCGACAGCGAACAGCGTGAACCAGGATGAGGCTTTATTGCCGAATCTAATGCGCACCGTGGCGCAGCAACACCAGACTAAAGAGGAAGGATTCTGCAGCCAGTGCAACTGTGCTGCAGATCCGTCAAAACAGCGCAGAAATGTGCGGGGTGGAAATCCCCAGAAACAGCAAATAGCTACTCAGGAGGGCGGAGCGTCCCGCCCTTACAATAGCGATTTCGGTTGTTTTTTACGGCTTAAATTTTAATTGTTGTCAGAGGCACATGACTGCGCCTGGTGCATACGGCCCACCATGGACGTATTAGCACTCATGCTTGCCATATCGCCTCTCTCGCTGTACGTACGTGTGCTGCTGCACTGCACTCATATCCGCTGAAGCGGATATATGCGGCGCACACACTGAGCATACTTGCTCTCTCGTCCCTCTCTCTCGCTGTATGACTCAGCGTACGCTCGCGTTGGATTGAGTCCAGTCTGCGCATCATCACACAGCTGATGGCACACAGCACGTGCTTGCCGCCAGTTGCTTCTTTCACGCCTTGACGAACGCTCAAGAGCTCTTCTAGCATTCACTTGCTTGTTTAGCCATCAGTGCTTTTGTTCTTGCATTCCCTGCTATTACGCAGCATTGTTCCTTTATTTGTACAATAAAGCATCACTCGTGATCTCCTCGCGCTTGCCTGTTACATGGTAAGCAAGATCGTTTGGTTTTCTTTCAACGGACCCTTTGAGGAGACGGTGAAGGCTCAAATTACGGAGAACTCGTGAGAAACCTGAAAGTCACTGTCAGATAGATTGCTGAAGCAATCTCTGCCCTTGACTTTGATCGGATTGATCGCATCGTCTTACAGCTGAGGAAAACGAGGATCACTGAAGTGATTCTTGCCCAGCTGGTGAGCACAGTTCCTTGGTCTCTTCCACATTGAAGAGCGGAATCTCATTTCCCGAACGTACGGACATTTTCTTCTCCCAACTGACGGATCAGACTCGAACGAGAGTCTGTAGCGCGAACGGATTAATCCAAAAATACGGGGACCTTCGCTTTGAACAGCGACCCGCAACTTTACTCGCGGATTTCAGCACGGAAACGACGGATTTCCGACCTCGGACGGAGGAAATCGACCGGAACCGACACCGACACCGACACTGGTAAAGTCACGGTTATAGGTCGATTTTAGCCGAAACTAGGTCGGCATTTTATTTTCTAACGGTAGAAAACTACTTCTATCCGTAAGATTTAAATTTCTAACGGTTAAAAAGTAATTTCTGACGGAGAAACCGACTCGGAATTTTGCTTTTGGTCGAGAACCGACCTGCTAGGTCAACGAACCTGTCTAGACAGTTAGACAAAGGCTAACCGGCAACAGGTCGGAAATTCTCTTATTTTTGATTTCTAACGGTGTTTCGACCACCAGAAAATTTTCTTAATTAACAAAGCTAATTTCTAACGGTTAAAATTTCAAAATCCGACTAGATAAACTCTCTAGCCGACCTAAAATAATTTGTTTTTCTTGCGGCAAATAGCGCGAAAATTCTCGAACTTCCTCATGACGTCATAACGACCGCTTATCAGTACTTAAGAGGCAGCCAATCAGCGTGCAGGGGAAAGTTCCCATAGCTTAACATAGGCGTGATTCATCGTTTTTTGCAAATTTTGCATGCGGCTCGCATTCTGTGACGTAGACAGAAGTGCAAGACCACTTAACCTGTTACGTCACACTGGTCAGCACAGTAACATAGGACGTACTACACCGTACTACTATTACGTACTGTACTGTACCATTGTACTGTGTATTAATACCCTGTGTACTGAGTCACCAACAGACACATCAACAACAATAACAACATTTCATCGGACGTTCCTGACCCTTGGAAGTTCCTGAACAAAAAGACGTTCCTGACTTTACCGAACATCTTCACACAGAAGATTGTTCGACTTTCTCTTTCTAACTGACTAAACTATTAAGGCTCCACCAGAGCCGACCTGACTTGACAACAATGTCGAATCCTCGAGAAGATCAGTACGCGAGAAAGTTCAACACGGACTATTCTCGGCGTGCGAACATGACCGGGAAGTACTCACTTCGATACGCCGGTCAAGACAAAAGTCAGCCGTCCTCAACCGACTCGACTAAGTCGGCCGAGGCAAAGGAGAGACGCAACGAACGCATCCTCCTTGCCGACTCGAATCCAACCTCGGATGACAGTTTCGAGGACGCCAGGGATAAAACATTCCTGGAAACCCCAGCTGACATGGCAGCCCCGTCCCACCCGACCAAGGGGGATGTAGAACAACCGCAAGTGGAGACTACATTGTCTCATACCGACCTGGAATCGAGCTCACACACAGCTCAAGGCTCGGTAGCCACAAAGACAACCGAGCTCGGACGGCATTCACCCAACAGGACGGAAGCAGTGCCGAAGCCGACCTCGTCCAACACGGATGTTCCAACTAACCAAGTCGGAAGGAAATCGCCGACCACACAGGCCGAGCGAAAATCTCCGACTAAGCAGGTTGGCGAACAACAACCGACTACGGTGGCCGACCAACAAAGGGTCGACCAGCCGCCGGCAAGAGAAGTCGGTCAACAGCAGGCCGACCTGCCCCAAACTCGAGAGGTCGAACAACCGACCTCGACCGGAATGGATAAGCCGACAACAGAAGCCGGCAACGTCCAACCGACCACACAGGTCGGAAGGATTTCACCAATTGAGAGGGTCGGTCAGCTGA